AGACTGTTGTTATAGTGTGTGTGTGTGTGTGTGTGTGTGTGTGTGTGTGTGTGTTAAATTGAATGAGCTGGGTGAATAGCAGTACATCAAACAGGCACTTTAGACCGTACGATCGATTTTTAAATACGTAAAAAATAGTTCCAGATTGGCAATTTTTATATTATTAATATCGGAAGTGGATTAATGTCTTAATGATTTATTCTAGCGACTGATCAGTTGTATTAAACTGAGTTTCAAGAACGCTTTAGGAAATGCGTTCGATTAATAAGACAGTACCTTCTCAACAGTGGAACTCGTTATTCTACACGGGTGTGCGTGTTCGTACGTGCGTATGAAATATTTCTTGTAGATCGAGTTTGATGAATACTATCAGAAGCAAATTTACTGYCATCAATAATAAAATAAAGTGCTTTAATGGCAGAGGAAAATTTTCATTTGTGTGATTTGTGATCATTCCTAGACTGAAAACATCCCAGAACCGATGAGGACGTGGCGGCCATGTCACTTAATGCAGACGTTTTCTTTTTTTCTTGTTTCTTTCTTTTTTAGTCTTGATCACTATCCAATGAGAAATTCTCTCTTAGGACCTTAGAAAGATTGAAAGAAAATGTTTTTTGTTTGTTCCCCTTGCTTTTTTTAAAGGTTAAAATAAGTATAGGAACAGAAAAAGAACCTCTGGTACGTCCCGTCGGCTTCATTTTGTACTGAGAAGTACTAGATCAAAAGCATCGTCAACTATTCCGGCCATGCGCCGCTCGCCAAGTCAGCGGATATTCGTATAAAATATAAACCAAAGGAAGCCCAAGCTCTCTCAGGCCCGGACTTAGAGAAACAAAACTTTTTGCTACGGTATTCCTGTGCTTTAATAGGTATCCTATTACAAATGATGGCAAACGAGAACTGAGGATTCAAGCTTTATTTTGGTACCAAACATGCCGTATTTTGCGAATAATTTTCAAGGTTTTTTCTTCACAAAGTGCCTATTCTTGAAGAAAGGATCTCACAAATATTCGTCTCAAATCGGAGCTTTTTGAAAGTAAAAAACGAAAAGTATAAATTCGTTCAATCGACCACAGATTCGACATCAGTAATTTAGAATGTGTGTATTTTAAGAATCTACCCCGGCAAATGAGGTAACTAGCTCTGATTTTGAGAAATGTTGTTTATAATATTTGACCTTTTGTGTTTTTCTTGCAATTTAACAAAGCACATATGGCAAGAAGGCTGTTAAAATATAACTATCGAGACGAAAAGGTTATTCCAAACAAATTAAAGTATGTTTGGTAAAAATCAAATGCTTTAATGTTATATATTGTTCTTCTACCCCGGCAAGTGGAAAACTGTTTACACAGAAATTTATAAATCGAAAACTATCTTGACTCTCTATACATTTCTTTGTAAAATCTGACTTAACTCGCTTAACACTTTCAAGCGACACCGCTGCATTTGTACGCGGGCGCATGACCGGAATAGTTGGCGATGCTAAGAATAACTAAAATACCATTTCGACCATTTCGACACTGGTCCGATTTTTTAAAATCAGTAATGTTCGGGTCTTATTATTTACTTCATATAATAAATATTAGTTAAGTGGGGAGAAATGGTTCTGGCCGGCGGTAAAAAGTGGTATTTCATCGATACCACTGCAGCATGATTGTTCACAATAGCTTATTAACAATTTAGAAACTAAATTCAAACTTTTTACTCTGCGAAATTGTCGCAAGAACAATATAGAGAGTCTGACGGCTTTTCTCTAAAATCCAATATGGCCGCCCATCTTTCTCATACTTCAGAGTCGGACTAGATCTTGGCCGAGTGGAGAAGAGGTTAGCATGAACATGTTTTACCTTCATTCTGCGACCAAAATTAAAAATTCTAAAATCATACCATCTTTTATGCCATTTAGTAAAGTGTTTACAGTCAAAACGGCTCAAGCTTACCCTCCTAGATTCCATTAATGGTTTCACTATTCGAATATCTAAATCTAATCATTATTTCTGAGAAAACGAARWCKCRGGRTTYRAAATAATRACCGATTCAAWACTCGAATTCTGATTGGATTATGCCTTCGGTCCGCTGGTCAACCATATTTCAGCTGAGCATGAATGAGAGTGTTATGAATAGTAGTCTTTTTATAGATAGATAGATTTCCGTCTTAGTCGCTTTCTTAATATATTCATATAAGTCTATGTATTTTATACATTTATTATTTTTTTAATAGTTATATTAGTTTTATACTTTTGTTAGGAGAAACCTTCTGTGACGTTGGTTATCAATAAAGATCTATCCATCCATCCATCCATCCATCCATCCATCCATTTACTCTTTCCTTCTTTTTTCCTTCTCTTCTTTCTACTATACTCAGCGGTCTTCCGCCACACGAGTATATAAACAGTGAGAAACCACGTTCTGTACCCAGTTGCTACGTATGTTCCTCTTCGGTAGCTCGATTTTAACCTTGGCTAAGCACAATTTAGAAGGACAAATTCCCGTACTCCCAGTAAATCCAATAGTTGCCCAGCAAAACCAGGAAAACGCAGACCAAGACCCCCATCACCAATAGAAGGAGAACTTATTGTGGTAATATTTTTGTTTTAATTAATTTGTCGGGTTTTTTCGATACTTGCCGAGTTTCGCTATAATGTTTGTGGCAGGATTAGCTGTTTTATCAAGCTTTAGTTCAACTTTCCTTACGGTGGCAGTAAATTTCCCTTGGTAGTTGTACGTTTTGTAGTCCTAATGGTAATGTTTGCTAGTCAGTTGTTGGTCATAACCTTATGCTATATTTTGTTGCCACTCGGTCACTTCTGGCCATTCGTTTTAAAATATTCATTTGCCAGTTGTGTTTGGACATGAACTATTTGGCTCAGCGTTATTCATTGCTTTTTGCTAATGCTTGCTTTTTGGCCAGTTTTGTATTTTTCGATTGCACGTTACGTCATCGCGGCCATGTTGGTGCCATTTAACAAAAGATTTCTCATCCATTTAGCATCCATTGTTAACGGCACCACAATGGCCGCCATGTCTTTGTCTTTTGGCTCTCTTGGGAATGCTTGCAACCCATCAATTCTGCGCTTCGTGGTTTAATTTTGTTAAATATTTTTGTTTGTCATGAGATGTTTGGCTTACCTTTATTCATGACTTTTGTGTTTTTACGTATGCAGTCTTTTGCTATGCGTTTGGTGTGATTTCACGTGCACTTTGTTATGCTGGCTACGTTACAAAATCTATTTAGAGCCAGTTTTTGTTTGTCATGAGATGTTTGGCTCAGCTTTATTCATGACTTTTGTGTTTTTACGCATGCAGTTTTTGCTATGAGTTTGTTGTTCTTTCACGTGCACTTTGTTATGCTGGCTTCCTTAAAAATCTTTTCATGGCCAGTTGTTTGTTATGATATGTTGGGTTTTGGCATTATTCATAGCTTTTGTGTTTTACGCCTGCAGTTTACGCCTGCTATCACGTTTTTATGATGGCTTCGTTAAATCTTTTCAGGATCAGTTTTTGGTTTGTCGTGATATAATTGATCTTATTTATCAGCTAGATACCTACATTAAATCACACCCGACTGGGTTATGGTTATGCGCGATAAAAATTAAAAAACCCGTACCCCACGGCTCCACGGTTTGACACTGATAAGACTGGGAGCCTTATTCCCTGTCGGTCTTCGTACGGGCGCATAAGTCTGTCAACCCTTGGGCCTCTCCCTCATTGCGTCTCCCTTAAGTATCGCTCGTTTTGTTTCATTTTTAGCATGCTCCCGCTAATCGTGCAAGGCTTTCATCTCCCCGGCGAGAATCCGATGGGTTCATCCCTTGGGTGCAGTCGAACGGGAAACCATTTCGGGCTCAAGGGCTGGCTGAAAACGATGATCACATTTCTGATGTTTTCGTGGAATCGGTCAGCTTAAGGGACGGAGTTTAAGGGATGGAGTTTTGAGGTTATGGATTTTAAGTGTTGGGCTTTTGTCTATGGGTGTAGTATCCTTTCCTCAATCGCAGAGGCACAATGCCGATAACTTAGCCCATACGAGTGGAAGGAAGACCACTGAGTATTCCACTGAGTATAGATTACTATTCTTCATCTATTCCGATCCATTCATCATTGAATTGATTTCAGTTCTTGTATGCTTGGTGGCGTATGTGTGAATGAATAGTTCTGATTATTATATATCAAGCCAACAACGTCTGTATCACCACTGTCCTTCTTCAGCTCCTCTCCAAGCATGATGTCCCTGAGACCAGTTAGGCTTTTCAATACAAGGTTTTGGTTCAAACCTATAAGCAGCATTCATTTCAGCCCACTTAAATCCCTTGTAGTCACAAAGAGATTCAAACTTTTTTATTTCTGGTATGTCATCCTTTCTTCCATCGTTGCTTATTTTGTCCAACTCGAGCATCTTCTTTCCGAAAGCTCCATGGATGCCCATAAATTTATCACAAATGTTGTAGCTCACGTTGTCAAACATGTTGGTTTGCGAGGCTCGTGGAAAGTGATGCAGTCTGGCATCGTAAAAGTACCGCCTGGATGGGATATCATTCATCCATATAGCTATTTGTTGATCTGCATGAGGATGGCACAATATTGTTGTCTCGTTTTGGCTTAAAAATCGGTGAATCATGTCTTTGCTGAAAACCATCCAAGCTTCATCCATCCACACGAGATCTTTAAAGCAATAAAAAAATCCCCAAGCAAGATTTTTTCTCGGTCGATGTTCTAATTCATAGAATAACCTGCTTAAACAGATGAAGTAGTCATCATCTGCACGAAGGAAGTACTCAAAGTCGTGGTGAGAAGCAGCCCATTGTATTTGATAGAGAAAACGAAGTCCGAATTCTTTTCCTCCAGCCAATGGCTGAAGTATCATGTCTCTGTACTTTTGATTCTCTTCTTGTAGTTCTCTGGATATATTACTGTTTACATTTCCATCGGTAAAAAAATAACATTTAAYCTGTGAAAAAATCGAAAAACAAATTATTGTTTTAGTAATATAGCGATAGACCTCCTCGACTCGGGCGTAATGTTTCCCCATTCCAGACCACGTGCCATTCCCTTGAGAATAAGATTCTTAGTTTGAGTTGTATCCATATTCATGTCTCTTCTCATACGCAACCGTTAAACAATTTGAACACTATGAAGTAAATATGTCGGTCAAAAAGTATCGGTATATTGATATTCATTTAAGATTTAGTAAACAAGGGCTGTGAGACAGAAAATATTCCGCCATCTTGGGCAATCTCTGCAGGCTCAGTTCAGAGGTTTTTCCTTATTAAAAGTTATATTCGCATGCGCTAATTCACAGAGTGAATTTCTTTTGGCTCTACGGATTTTGCCCCCTTTTTTTTAAGGCTCCGGTATTGTTTCAAGAAGGAAATTGCTTTCAAATAATATTATTTTCGAAATCTTTATCATCTGACCTTTAAAACGATACATAGTTTTATAGGGTCTTGCTGAACGTGTTGCGTAGAGAGAATCTTAAACGAAACATACCCTTCAAGGTCTCCAGTAACCTTAATTACAAATTGACTACTTATGAACTGAATAGACCTATCCCGAATTCGCGCTTGACTGACCACGAAACAATGGYAAATTTGAAGTCGAGACTGGACTTGATTCTTTTATTCATCAAGTTCAACCTCGACTTGAAACCATTGTTTCATGACCAGTCAAGCGAATTCGGGATAGGCCTATTATACGTGTAAAAATTATGCTTAATTACATTACAATTATCACTGTTAATCATAAAGCTAAAATTAAAATTATCCAATTTATCTAAATATGAATTAAAAAAGGCACCCATTTAAAAAAGAACTTTCTTAAAACGCTCGGTTTTTACGGATGGGAGAATTAGACAGTACTATATCCCTTATAAGATCCTGGTTTTCATGGGTCAAGAAGCAGATGGAATAGGGGGTGATGAGGTTGATAATCTTGTCTATTAATTCCAAATTGTACGAGAAGATCGTGCGATTTTTTGTTTATAGTTCACTCAACAAAATTTTCGTAAAAAATGCGAAGCGACGCCGYTCATCTTTGTCTATTTGGCGGCCGATTTTCAGTCCATCGTGCAACTGAAATGCATAAAAAAGATTAGTTCTTACGGCTTTAAAATTTTATTTATATGTTTTTTAAGTACAAAATGATAGAAAATAATGTTTTGACATTGTTTTGGCCGTGTTGCCATAGCGACTTAATTCGGTACTCCTCTCGACCAATCAGAGTGGAGTAATTTTGTTGAGTGTACTATAATGTCTTTTACTGGAACTGTATTCTTAATGTAACCAAACTTAAAAGCACTATTTTGCAAAGCATTCATTTTATGTAAATATTTAGAGTAACTGGCAATATTTAGAGTAACTGGTGGTCGCCGTATTTCAACGATTTGGTGTATGGCTTATGTTGAATACTGAGTTTTCCGCGTGGCATATCTGTTTTAAAAGTAGCTCTTAGAATGATACATAGTGCAACTTCAGAATACCCAGCCAAATGATATCTTTAGATTGATATAGTACATAATTAACTTCAGAATACCCGGTCAAATGACTTGCACACATAATCCCCTATTGTTCTTCTGTCGTCGTTTTCAAAAGACTTGATTTATACTAAAACGAATTAAGTGCATGGCTGGGTATTCCAAAGCTGCTCCAGAACAACATACGTTATTATATATATATATAATTTTAAAAATATATTATTAAGCCTTATATGAAAAAAAAGTTGGGTTGATGGATGAATGAGAATGTTGTTGATTTACAGCGATGATCAACTGCGAAGATGATGATGGTGGTGATTAAAATGATGAACTGCCTAGATATTAAACGGTGATAATTAGAATGCTTGTGGAATTTTAGATCAGCATTTAGACCATGCTCTCTCGATAAGACGCGATAAACAGTGACAGGATTGGGTGGCATGGGTGTCGTAGTGGTTTACTGCTCGCCTCTCACTGCTGCTGTCGTCCAGGTTCGAGCCTCGGCTCAGACTGGATCATATGTGTAAGTTGAGTTTCCTCCCGCCGTAAAAATCAACATGTGAGTTAAGTAATGGTAGTGCGTATGTAGAGAACCTTACGGAAGAGCTATGTTATGTTAAAATATGTTATGTTAGGATGCGATTACACGGTACCGTACGAAATTGTATCCATTCAACTAATTTCACATGTAGATACCGTTTACACGGAACCGTCTATTCATTGTATAAAAATGGTTTGTTCTGTTTACACGGAGCCGGTTCCAAATTTGCACGACTAGGCGTAGGAGTATGAGCTAAAATTATATGTGACTCTCCCGCCGCCAAATGGGAAGTCAGAAAATCTTAGTCCTCACCCGAAACACAGCGTTCTCTTTTCCACTTAATAATGATTAGTCCCTAACATAATGTTTATAAATAAAATTAAAATCAATATTACTTAATAAAGCCTGTAAGATTGAATGTAAGAAAGTTGGGTTCCGATAGTTGTTGTTGCCCATCATGGATGGCCGGGTGAGTTACGTACCTGGCTGTTGTTGTAGCAATATCTCCAGTAGGTTTTTCGAATTACATCTCTTCTTGCTCTTCTATGAGGAGCCGTAGAAATGATAACCACTAGTCTGAGGCCAGTTTTATTCCCTTCAGGGGAACTAGAGGTTTTWAAAACCTTGCTCGAGTTGGAATCGTTGTCGTCTTGTGAAGAACTATCATCATCGAAAACGAATGATTTCAAAAAAATCTTGGATAATTTACTGGAAAAAGTCATAGATTCCGACTTGAGCAAATATAAGAAAGGAAGACACATCAGTAAGGTGAAAACTATGATCATTTTTTGTTTGCTCATCTTGAATGCCGAATATCGGTGAAACAAGCGGTCGGGACACATAACTTTCCCGTGTTGGAAGAGGCGCTTGATGAACTAGTGTGAATTCATAAAAAGACCTCGTAGAAACACATGATGAATATTCATAACAGACTTACATGTAAAAGTTCCAGGCGCTCTCAGCATGTATCACAGAGTTCCCTGTTAGCCGATGATGGTATTCTTGTCTGCATGCACTAAAGTGTTTTACCAAGGAACACAAATTTATTGGTGGGAAACTTTTTCATAGATGCTACGATACTGAACAAGTTCACCAAAACACATACATTTGTTTTATTTATCTAACATCCCATGAGAATTGAGACATGCTCATTCAACTGGTGTTGTTCACCGCCAATGTTGTTTAAGTTATATTTTGAAATCATTTTAGTTATTGCAATTGTGAGCGAGCTGCCAATACAGGTTTATATATGTTAATATAATGTGTTAATATATCACTTATGGGCCGTAGTCGCGAAAGACGAAGGCCATCGCAGCCTCTCGGGTGAGGTTGGTGCCATTTGACAATAGATTATTAGCATCCATTGTTGTCAAAATGGCCCGCCATGTTTTTGTCTTTGTTTCTCTTGATGGTGCCAATGGGTTAATTAGTCACGCGCTGATATATTACTTTGATAACGAATCAATTCAGCCAAAGGTCTTTTGGGGAAGGATCTGCTGGATGGACAAACAAACAATAAATTGATTAAATGTAAGATTACAGATAAAACGCGTAGAATTTTTGAAAAACATGACGATTTCGTCTGGTCCAGGTAGAACTAAGGTGGTAGGAATCTTCTCTATTGAAGTTATTAGGGCGTTTGAAGATTCAAGTCCATGTTATGTTCAGGGTTGTCGTGAGCGTGGTTGGCAACGGCGGAAAGATAGAATTGCCATGCAGTAACGATCACGTGTCAGACTATTATCTAACTATTGCAAAAGGCCTATTGCCCAAAAAAAGCAAGTTTAGCGTTGCATTTCTATTTTTGCCTGGAGTAAAGTTCTCGTGGAGGTGTGGGGTTCTGCTCCTATCTACGGGCATACAGTGGAACCCCGCCTTACGGCCACCCGCTTAATACGGCCACCCGCGGCCGGCGGAGGGCCCAAAAACAAAATGAAAAATCAAGAGAAGGGCCATTTTCTATGCAAGGACTGGGAGGAACAGATTTCTTGTATGGATACCGGTTAGCAACGCAARGGAATACCATCTCCCCCCTCCCCTTTTCGATAACTTTTTTTAGCGAATAAATTTATACGCAAACTAGAAGTTTTTGCATTTTCAGAATCAGATGCCATCCGATTCTTACTTTGATCACTTGGAAATCAAGGGTGGTGTAGCGGTAGTGTACTCACCTCTCACGTCTGGGGTCTCGGGATTTTTTTCTTCTCCGGGTTCAATTCCCCGGTTTTCTTGCCTCCGCATAGCCCAGCACGCTAGCTAAATTCCATTTTAATGTGCGAGTTAGCCGTGCGCTGGCTTATTTATTARTTCAGCCCAGAGGTCGCTCAGAGGCTCAGGAGCTGTTAATACACCAGTCATTTGACATCCCCCGCACCCCCTCCCCCGCACCCCCCTTGAGGCATACCCGGGGCATTCACTTTTACCCTCGGAAAGGTAATGAAAGCCCCGCCCTGAAGGAAAGAAAATGAAAGTGAAGTCCCCGCGTCACCTTTTGAGCAGTTTATTTTTGGATATTTAATATATCTATTGCAGAAATGTGTTCGCCGACAAAGAAAAGATTGAAGTGTTCAATATTTATTCCATATAATAACAGCTTATTTGCTTCCCTTTTTGTTTGTCTTTTTCTTTTTCTTTATCATAGAGAGAATGAAAAGCAATTTTTCGATCGATGGCTCAGAAAAACATAATGAAATAATGCTATGAAAATCTTACCTTCTTCGTCTCAACCTCATTGACTACGTAAACTCACACGAGGAGCTCAATCTGTCCCAGTCCCCATAATGGAAAAGTACAGTCTCCGGTCAGTCCACGGGATGCAGCCGAAGCTGTGAATTGAAGAGCTTTCCCCGACCACCAGGGAACCAAATATATGTGGAAATGGGGTGGAATCCCTGCTATGCCAATTGGCTATGCCCACGGGTATGCCTCAGTGGGGGCTGCGGGGGATGTCAAATGACTGGTGTTTGTCTTCCTGTGGACGAGAGAGCCTGGTCAGCTATTCAAGATGGCGGACGGTGGAGGGTATTCATCCACAGATGACAGTGTTTTGGCTGGACTTCTCTCTGCTTCCAATGATCTACAGTCGTTAGAGTCATTTGATGCAGCATTTACAACTCGTTCAAGGGACAGACAGTCTTTCAGGTCAAGCAGCCTCGTCTCTGATGCGGTATGTCTTGTCATTTCCCACATATTTTTGACAAGAAGGCTAAACCATTTCAGAGAAGATTTTAAAAACCAAGTCTTAGAATACGAACCTTGCATTATTARAACCATAAAAATATTGTTTCCTTCAAAGTTTTCAAATTTTTTTCAACGTTTTTTTTTTCTGCAAAAGAAACCTTTGAATGGACGAATAATTTGATTTACACTACTTGCCAGTTCTAAGATTAAAGCCCACAAAATTTACCATAATGATTTATTTTCATTGAAAAGACTTTCAAACATGTTTTTAATAGCGAGGGCTAGCAAAAACCTTTCACTTTGTCATCATAAGATGATTCTTGTTGATCTCCGTCATTGATTATTTGCATTTTGCATTTTGCTGATTTTTGTTTGGCTCTCAGGCGGAAGCAGTACTGTATTCAGTTACCTAACCCATAATATACATGATTGGTGTCAATTGGCTGTCATTATATCRTCAAAAATTGACTTGGGGGAGGGACCATAATGTTTTGTGACAACTGGTGGTCTGTAATTTTTTTTGTTTTGGGTGGTTGGGTGGGGGTCACTGAAAAGATGTTAGGTTTGAGTGGGGTGGCCGTCAAATAATTTTTTTTCAAAACTTAAAAGCCCCATAGCCCCCCACTCCACTAGATAAATTGTGAACACTCTCTTATTCATGAGATTGATTGACTGGTGACACAAAGCAACTTGTGATGAGGTTTTGTAAAAAAAAGTTGGCATGTTAACTACAGTATGTGATGGTTTCGTTCGTGAATATTTCAAGATGTTTGGGTCCTTGGCTTCTTTCAATCAAAATTCCATTGTTCTGCAACAGTTAGTATTTTTTTATTGACGGAAGTCAAGAAGCAAGATGTCTTGGGCTGTGGTGAGATGGATGTATTTCTATTTTGTTTAGGTTGATATTGAACTTGACTTACCTGAAGTAGAGAGTATCCCAACACTTGAGAGTATTCTCAATGAAGTAAGTTTAGTATGATAAATTTAGATTTTCTTACTGTGACAAAATGACAGCATGGAAAACCAGCAGGGGGTACTGTGACTACAAAGGGCAGGAATGCTTGGCGTACCTTATTAGGGCTCCAAATCTGGGATTCGGTACCTATTTGGGTGTCACAAAATTAAACTTACCACACCCATCTAGACCATAGAGTACCGAAGTGTGACGTCATCAAATTTGAAGTTTTTWAATTCAGTTTTGAAGTGTTCACATTTGAAGAGAACACACCATTGACTACGTTTCTGCCAAGTTTAAGGCTGTTCCAAGCTTTAGAAATGGAGATATTGGGTAATTAACCTTAAAAAAGCCCCAAACATTAATTTTTCTCTTATTTTGGACTGGATCCAACCAGGTTAAGTTGGATCTAGCCTCAAATAAGAGAAAATGTATGGGCATATATTTGTATTTAATTACCTATATCTCAGCCGTTTTTCTCTCTATCGGTCTGAAATTTCACACTATAACATTATATTTACATGCAATTTCTGATAATGTCACCTAAATGTCTTTAAAAACAAATTTGTGACATCATCACTTCAATACTCTCTTGCCATAAAGTCGCAGGCATTTGGGATTGTGATAAAATCGCCATTGAATTTGCTTCTCTAGTTTTACAACAAGAATATTAGTGTAAACTGTTTTTTCTAAAGAAGTGCATTCAGGAATTGTGTGTGCTTATGAGAGATTGCTGTATCTTAGATAACCTAGAAATAAAATGACTGCTGGAGATTAGGATTGGCCACAATGAACTGATCAAAATGTAACCACAGGGCTGTCAACCCCCGAGATATTCAAATCTGGAGATATTGATAGGAAAGGGACATGACGTCACAGCGCGTCAAAAAGCGTGCGAAAAGACGTCTTTTGCTTTGTAACATTTGATGTGATTGGTTTATTTCTGACAAATCAGATTATCGCTTATATTACAATGGCCTGCTTGCAAGAACAGTTTATGAGGAACGTTTTGATTTTGTTAGCGATTTAAGATAACACAAAYAACGTGACACAAACAACGTGACACAAAATAATTGGAATTTTATGGTTGTGAAAGTCGAGTCTCACAAGACAAGAAATAGTCAGCTTTAGCGATTATCCGGGAGATTTGATACTCTAATCTGGAGACCGGGAGATACGGTCCAAAATCTGGAGACTCCCGGTTTATCCGGGAGAGTTGACAGCCCTGTAACCAGTCAATGTGATTCTTCAAGAGCACAGGTCTAAGCTACCGTAGGCGTTTTGCCATAAGACAAGTGCCAATTTTGACTGGCTATTACTGTGTATTTTGAGCACTGATCTAAACAGATTTGATGGCAGTGATTATTGTAGTTGAAAATATGACTCAAAGATATTAAAACAAATGTTTTTTTTCACAGAAGGATGATGATCTTAGTGGAGTAGATTATGACCCAGAATTAGCGTCAATCTTGCATGATGAAGCCCTGTCCTCACCTCTAAACCTTGATCTTGTGTAGGTGGTATTTAATTTTCCCATCGCAGACCACCTGGCTTTTCCATGAGTACTGTTTCTTTGTTTACCTGTAGAATTTGGGAAGATATGTTAATATGGATACAACGCAAACAAAGAATCTTAATCTTTGAATGGAAATATGACACATGGTTTGAAATGTGAAAACATTACACACAAATGAATAAGATCTATAATGTGAAAAATTATTTAATATTTTATCATTATTCATCCTTGGGTCTGCAAGCTATTTAGAGATGTTTATTGATGATTATTATTGAAACAAAGCAAAATGTGGTCCTCAGGACTTATCAATATTTATTGATCAAAGCAAAATATGGTCAGGACTTTATAAGTCAACTTTTTTCTTCATTTACAACAGTATTTAGACTAAAATAATATGCCTTTTTGGTACTTCTGATTTGTACTACATACATGTAGTACAAAATGTTTGCGTTTTAAGACAAATTAATTTTGTTTTTCAGGCCAAAGAAGCAAGAAACCAATAAACATGGAACCATATTACGACACATTATCCTCAAGAATGTCTCTTCTCAAATGGTTTCTGCATGTGTAAGTATAGTTTAGAGCTACAAGGGACTGACCATTACACCTCTGTGGATCCTGTGGCTTGAGTCCCAGGTTTAATACAACCTTACTTTATATGTATTTTGAATGAATTTAAAATATTTGTTTTTATAATGTGACTGAGGATTTTTTACAGGTTTTTTAATTTCCCTTAACATTTGTCAAAAGTCATAAGCCAGAGCTCAAAATAACAGCCGGACATCGGACAATGTCCACCCAGGATTGGAACTTGTCCAGTCAAATTTTTCCCTTGCCGGTCATTTTGACCAGTAACAGAAATGAAGTATGAGAGAGCAAAGACTAATTTGGCCTGTCATCATGGCCACTGACTTATCAGCCCTTATTTTAAGCCCTGTGAGATAAACTGAGTGTACTTATTTTGAATGGAATGGCAGCGTGTGTGATACTGTATGTAGGGTCAAATCAAAAAGCATTTGTCTTTGACAAGCCTCAACCTACATGACTGGGCCAAAAGGAAAGATAGGTAGAAAAATTTTATTTAAGAAGTGGTTATTAACTATTTGCTCTGAATTAGTTGTTTGTTGTCAGGCCATGCCAGGTATCATATGCGATGATAATAATAATGAAAAGTATCAATTTTTCTTTTCCAGTCCAAAGTGGATGCAGGTTTACCTACAGCAATGGTAAGTTTATCAATAATATCAAGATATAAATTAATATATAGCACCCCAATAGGCCATTGTTTAACATAAGATTCTAGCATGACACCAACGCTCTCTGGAATTTTATGTTCAGAATTGCACAAAATCTCAAAAGCAGCCAATCGGAACACATGATTTTTAAGATACCAGCCTGAAAAAAATAAATTACAAATATTTATTTTAAAAATGATAGTTTATGGTACATTGTAATTCAGGAATCTCATTAAAAACTCTCTTGCTTGCCTTGTTTCCATTAGGCTGTATCATCTCTTATAGCTGTTGGGACATCTCACGGAATAATCTTAATTTTTGGTAAGGACACAGTTAATGACTGTTCAGTTTGGGCCTGGAGGTGGGT